AGGTTCGAGAAGGACGTGGCGTGATACTAGTCACGTGACCTCGCTGACGCAACAATACAAATTTTATTCGTTGATCAAACCCCATTTTATTTAGTGGAAAAGGACTAGTGTTTTTGTTTAGCTTGACGATAAAGCTTGTTTGAATTTGCTCTCTAATTGTGTAGATTATAAGGTGTGAGAATAAATACTTGATGTTTATTTGCAGTGTTTAGAAATTCTAGAAGCTGTCATGTTCAAATTCGATGTAGCTCAACATCATGTTAAATTTGTTTAGAAATTCTAGTAGCTGTCATGTTCAAATTCGATGTAGCTCAACATCAAGTTAAATTTATTTAGAAATTCTAGTAGCTGTCATGTTCAAATTCGATGTAGCTCAACATCAAGTTAAATTTATTTAGAAATTCTAGTAGCTGTCATGTTCAAATTCGATGTAGCTCAACATCAAGTTAAATTTATTTAGAAATTCTAGTAGCTGTCATGTTCAAATTCGATGTAGCTCAACATCAAGTTAAATTTGTTTAGAAATTCTAGTAGCTGTCATGTTCAAATTCGATGTAGCTCAACATCAAGTTAAATTTGTTTAGAAACAGGGATCGATATGTATGAGGATGTGTGTTTGTATGTTTATAACAAGCTCTTTAAACTTCGATACCATATCCATCATTGCTTCATTAGCCATGTTTGTTTATTTGTTTCCTTTAGTCATCGTGCTGTTCAGAGTAGAAACTTTGTCATTTATCTCACTGTCTGATTGGTTGGCAATGCCCGTGGAAATTGATTTCGTTAGCTGTATGAAGCCAGACGTTTTGTCACGAATCCACGAACAAGAAACTTGCTAATCTAGTCGTCTAGGCTCCTCCACTCATCTTTCGAAAATAAACATATACATTGGAGTAAAGATGAGGAAAATCATTTAGAAGGACCAAAACGACAAACTTATTTAATCCTTAAATTACTAAACTCAAAATAAGAAGTTTATGCGGCATCGCATCACAATTTATTGTTGAAAAGTATGTCTTCATTCTATAGCCCGAATACACGAACTGACTTTGAATTATTTGAACAATCTATGCGAACTAATTGCAAATGTGGTGAGTGAAGAGTGTGGGACTCGGTTGTTAAGAGTGGGAGTAAGCTTATCAGGTTGGTGAAAGTTGTGCTTGGTTTCTTTCATGACCCAGTGGCTGGAAGCAGTATTAATGTGATGTGTTTGATGACAGATCTCCACGACAACACATTATGACATACAGTGAAATGCAGATTGTGAAGCATGAGTTGAAGGTACCATTGAAGTGTCATGTTCGTATCATCTGAGGACAACCTTGTGGTTCTTATGAGGAACAAACACAGAATGATACAGAAAGTGACAAACTCAGGCAGCAAGAAGTGATAAAAACCAGTAAATCCTTATTAAAGGGAATGATAAAGAGTTGTTCAACACTGCTGCTAAACAAGCCAGTATTGGGCATGTTACCAACTTCCAAATCAAATCAAAATAGATTAGTTTTGTTGAAGTATCATGAAATGACAGCTGTCAACCGTACAATATTGTCTGTCTATGCTGGGTATGTTATTAGAAAATACATATATCTGTGGCTTCCTTTAATGAATCATTTTGAAATTGGAAGTGGGTCACTCATATCACGAGGAAAGTAACATGAACGTGGACGACATAGACGCAGTGTTTTGTTATTAAAAATGTAAGGTCTTAATAAATAGGTAAACATGAACTTACTGTGCTTCAGTGTGCTGCCGTATGAATTCTTATTGCAGCTGATTGTTTTATTCTGTACACATTGATATAGTCACATTGTGACATGAATAAAGATCGCTTAGTGAAGGTGAAATGTCATGGCAACGAGTAATATTACTATGATGACAGGATGTTTATTATGGGTGTGTATATAGTGTGTTAATAGCGAACTAATAAATGCATGAATAATGGATATTCGAAAACTCCATGTTGATTAGATTAAACCTGTGGACATGTTAACTTGTGAATAGATATATTTGAAGTGATATTGTGAATTGGATTAACCTCATAGTTAAATGTAATTTTGGGATTAATGTGGTTAAACATTCAGTTATATTTCAAACACATTTGAAATGTCAAAAATATAGTCTGAATATGCACCATAATGCAAGGAGCAGTGTTAATATAAAAAATAAAAAGTTTCCTGGTATTGAGCTCCAGTTCAGCCAGGTAATGTGCATGAAAAAAGACGAATTTTCAAGGCATCGTGTATATACAACGTCTATTCGCCCTGTCTCTCCAACCAAGCCTTAAGGTGGATTTTAGACCATATCAAGTAACGTTTCTTGTGGTGACGTTTCCGTCCATCAGTTTATTAACATATTCCTTCCTTTTATGGTTTGCGCTCTTTGCCGCAAGGACGTGCTTCGCATTTTGGGGTCGCGAGTTGTGCTATAAGAGTGACATTTAAATCCTACTATTCGCTTATATAAGAGTAGCTCAACAGTTGACGGTTGGTGCTGTTGACTTGATGCTTTCCCTCCAGTATATGGGTAAAAATTAGGGACAGCTATGTGCATATAGCCGTTGCATAGCTTTGCGCGAAAAATACTAAAAAACAAACATCCTATTTATGTTATCTGTACCTCTTTATTTTTTATTCTGTTGCTGGTTTTTAGAAACTAGCTTATATACGCTTGTAGAAGACATGGGGGGGGGGGGCAGAAGCCGTTTGGATGACTTTCAGCATATGTTTGTCTTCTTCGCTATGTTTTTTCAGGAACTTTTTTGACCATTTCATTTGTTTTTCCTCTACTTCGGTTATCCTAATTTTTGCTAAGCTTTCTTAATTTTGTCGTGCCACCCATTTACTTTTTCCGGCATGTCTGTGGACTTACAACACTAAAAACCGGGTTTCGATACCCGTGGTGGGCAGAGCACAGATAGCCCATTGTGTAGCTTTGTGCTTAACTACAAACAAACAATCTTTCTTGCACTGCTTCTGAACTGTTTTTAGTTTTATTCAGAATTTTAATTTAGAATTAATTTCATAAATAGTGTTAAGAGTGTTCAGTTGAAATGAAAAGCTGAAGTGGTTTGATACTGTAAACATGCCATCTTTTAATTTGAATTTTAGCCAATATCTCAAATCCCTGATTTAATCTATTGTGGCAATGAAAGAGCTTACTGTAAATATGATAATTTATTTAAAAAGTATAAATAAAATCCCAACTTTTACTGGGATTTGAACTTCAGTCTTCAGAATACAGGAAGGTCGAGTGCTGTAACAACTGACCCACTTTGACTTCCAGCGTTCAATCTCTAATGTTAAAACCAAGTCTGTAATAAACTTCACTAGCATAGTCCAATAAGGTATAAGAAAAACAAGTTGGAACAATACTTGCGGGCATAAGCTTTCAGCAAGATGGTTAACTGGTTTGGTGTCACGATTCTATAATTTATAGTGTAGATTAGAAAATAAGAATTACACTCAGAAAGTGGTTAATGCTAATTATAAGTATTATAATTAAACATTTAAAACTGTAGAAATTAAAGTTTATGGACATTTCTTTGTTTTATTCGTATGCATAAACATAGATGAAGGTCTGGTGGCTCTGAAATTACGAACAGAAACTTGAAACCATGTTTTTGTTCTATGTTGGATTGTAATCTTAATCATTGTTTAGATTTTTTGAGCAAAGCTACGTAACGGTTGTATGCGCGTAGGTGCTCCAAATTTTGAACTAATATACTAGAGATATTTAAGGTTAAGTTTGTATTTAAGCATAAACTTATTTATTTTTTAAGATCCTAAGCTAAAACTTTGTTTGGAAATGTGTTTATATGAATAAAAATGAAGATAAGTATATTATAGCAGTGCCAATCACTGTGGTTAATCAGAGAAAGATAGTATAACATAATGAATTTTGATTGACAAAATTAAAAATAATAAAAATAGCCCTCTGGTAAGCTATTTAATTTTTTCTCATATCTTTCAGGCTTTTGAGCAGACATAACTTGTCAACTACTATCTATATAGAGTCCTTTAATGTATTTTCTGCTCTGACCTTGGTGACCATACGTCCCTATTTGGACCTCTTTCCCGAAGAGGTCTTTTGTGACGTAACAAATATCCCGGTTTTAACCTGCCGTATTTCTTTTGATAGGTGACTCCATGTTTGCCTAAAAGTTCGAATTTTTCAAAGAAAATTAGTAATCTATTTATGGCTATTATTGTATCAAAGAGACGAACGATAGAAAATGTAACTAATATTAATGTAAAGTGCGATTTTAAATTGCTGTAAATAATATAAATGACACCCTACTGGCTTGTTACAGTGACATCATCAGTCACAAGATCAGTGAGGTACGTGAAATTCCCAGACTTCGTCGCCATTTACGTTGAATATTAGATTATTAAGCCTAGACTGAGTTGGCATGTGGCGACGCTTAACGGTTTGATCACCTGACATTTATAGTCACCTTTACTCTGACTGTAATACACAGAAAACAAATGTTATCGGGATTTAATCTGTCTCAACTGGTTCATAAACCTAAATTTGTGCTATATATTACTGGCTTCTCGGTATTTAATTTTAATATAGAACGAAAATAATAATTTACTGTAATTATATCCTATTGTGTAATGGCTTCCGTGTGTGGATTTTCGCATTTCAATAGCTTTACTATTGTACAAAATATACTGCACGAGACGTTTTGTCTTTTATAACGAGATTAAGGCTCCACGAATCTAAGAATCGAATTTCACGCTTCTACATTTACTTCAATGAAATACAATATTATAAAGTAGAAGAAAAATTGCGAACCTGACATCTAGTCTTGTTTTCACAATGTGCTGCCATCTGGTGAAAAGTCGTTAAGTCATGAACTGACAAACAAAGAAAGCACATCTGTGATAAAATGTAAATATTAAATAAATTAAAAGATAGCATGGATATCAGTTTAAGCTTGGGGACATTTCTGTACTTTTTGTGATCAGAAATAAGTTTAATGCATGTTGATTAGATCTAAAGCTCCAAAACGAAATATATTTATTATATTTAATAACCAGTTTTAAGGTAACCTTGATTTAGCCTGGCATAATTAGATTTGTGGTTTCGATTTATCATTATGCAGATTATCTTCCCTATATCGTTTAGATGGAATTCAGTACAATAGGTGGAAGGGACAGTATTTATTACAAAAAAGGCTTATTTTTGAATTCAGTTAAGAAATTAAAAAAAAAGTAAGTAAGTAAAATTCCCACTAACTGCTTTTAGCTCAAACGTTTCTTTCAAATAAAGAAAATATCCTAGACAGACACTGCCTATTTTGCATTACATTTTCACTTTATACCAGGCTTGCACTTCTGTGTTAAAAATGAAGTTAGTTTTATCAGTGATACAGACATTTGCTTTTTTTTGATAACTAACAGTATCAAAGTTATAATATAGTTTGATTAGAGTGATGTGGCAAAATAATTCCTTATTTACAGGGTGTCCAAAAAGTCTGGAACCATAGGCACTTCAACGAATTTTACAGAATCTGCAACATACTGTTCTTTGTAATTCGAAACAAGTTTGAATTAACAACAGGATTGACTCGACCTGATGCTTTGACAGCACCATAATCAGTAATGTATCTGAAATTAAGAAAAACTGCAAATTGCCTATGGTTCTGGACTTTTCAGACACCCTGTATATGATAAGGCATGTATAGAAATGTTTTTCTTTGTCTGTGTATTGTGTCACATGTACCTGAATTTGAGGATATATATATACACAACTCTCATTTTTTGTGAGAGACAGACTTTCCTGACAAGTACTAATGTCTTGAGTCTTTTATTTCATAAGTTTTTGTTTTCCTTTTAATTTGCATTGTTATGAATTGTTAGGAAAATAACATTAATGAAGTATACATTCATAAGACTTCCATATTCGTAAAAGCAGTTTTTATAATGTGCATGATTTTTTAAAATTATAGAAAATGATAAAGAAAGTATTCAGATGCATCAGAGTAGAGAGATCCAATTATTAGAAATAATGTTTTTAACCCAGAAGTATATAACAGAGAGAATAGTTTCTGGATAACTATTTCAACAGACTTGTACAAACAACTTGTATCTCTCTGCTTTCAATAAATATGGAATTTTGCTTTACCACCACTAGGTAGCCTTAGTAGTTATACTCCAACTGTGCTCAGTAGTAATGGTGACGCCTTTGAGCTTGGAATATCTCGACCCGTACACAGAGAAATCCTATCCCCTATGGCCCATAAAGAACCTGCAAATTCTGAAACCAGTGAAGAGATGCTCAAACCTGCTAACTCTGAGGAAATTTCATCTTGGTCAACCTCTACAAATTCTGATCTTTTGTTTTGAGGTAAAAGTTACTCATGTTGTGTTGTTCTTTGGTAGGTTTTATCATTTTGTAAGCTTAGTGCAATAATTAATTCTCACTTTTTTTACATTTTAAGTGTATTCTGTTTGATTATACAGATAATAAGCAGTGCAAGTTAATCATAATTAACAATCAAACAAGATTATAGGGCATAGAATATGTAAAAAATGCAAAAAGTTGCTTCTCGTTATTTATTATAAATCACACTTATGGGTGTTTGTGCAATATTGTATATCTTGTAAGAACGTATTCATATACTGACTTTTGATACATAAAAATTATATGATACTTGAAATATCTATTAAATTAAAATGTTGGCAGAAAAACATTGTACTTCTATACTTGCTAAAAACTATTTCCAGATAATTAAATTATATTTAGATAAATAAGTCTAAAAGAATGATTATTTAGTATTGTTAAAATTAAAAATGAAGCAAACTTAAGTTATCTAATGAATAAAACATTCGTTTTTTTCTTCTTTTATGTATAAAGTATATTTTTATAGCCCATGTATTTAAAGAACCTAGAATATCCAAATACTTGTATTTCTTGCTTTTAAATAACAATCACAAGTTGCTTTTTTTATGAAAACAAAATAAACAACTTATCAGTTTTATTTTTCAGCATTGATTAGTGTGAAGAACTTAAAGAAAAAATCATTTTAATGGCTCAAATCTGTATTGAAGATGAGGACATTTTTTAAGACTTGAACAAGACCCAATGCTGTTTCCTGTTGTACAACTTTGAAAGAAAATTACTGACATTGGTAGTTAACTTGCAAGAAAAGAATTTGTTTTATAATTTTCTTGTTGCAATTGATAAGAAGAAGATCAATGTCTTTCTATATATATAGCAGTCATTAGATATCTTTGTGGAGTCAATCCAACTGACAGAACAAGTTTACATTGTATCAGGTGATTTGAATAAATTAAAAAACAGTTTTTGTCCATATATTAAATTAGGAATTTCAGGATTGCCATTTTGTTTGTTAAAAGATCTTTGCGTGTTCATTTGTAAAAAGGAAACTATTATACAGTCAACCAACGTCTTTCATGATAAATATATGGAATAAAAAACTCTCTCTTTTGGAGAAATGGCTTAATCTTAATTTTTTTTAACCGATTTATAGCTCATAGTATACTCATTAAAAGCAATTAGCAAAATCATCAATTTGGGAGATTATTTCTTTCCTATCTTTGTACTTTATCTATAGATGATTTGACTTGCAAAGCCCACTGTTTTTACATCTCAGCTAACTGAAAGAGTGTCTTAGTTCTTACACAGTATTTGAACACTAACTGGGATTAATGCATGTTTTTTACATGCCTGAGGAAAGGTAGTAGGAATATAGGTTGGATACAGTTTTATTTAAAAGAAGTTTCATTCCAGTTTTTTAGATCTATACAGTCTTTTTGTTGTTTTTTTTTCTATTTTTCCTAGAATATACAAAACCCTTTGGCTAGTTTTTTACATAACATTTAAGTCATTCCTAACAGAAAAAGGACGTCTTAATTAATTATCTGTTGTGTGCATGTATGTATACTAGAATAAGAATTTATCATGTCTGGTCTAGATTGTGTGAGGTTTTACTGTTCCAGAAATAACTTTTGATGAACTTCTTGTAAATGCATTTAAGATTAGTATATTCAGTGTATGTTTTTATACATTTTTCCCACTTTCATTGTACTTATAGCAACGTGAAAACAATATGTGCAAGGTATAATGAAAGTATTATACAGTGCACATCTTATGTAGATACTTAAAAACTGAAATCTCAATGTCTTTATTTCCAATGTGACTACTTACAATATCTTGCTTCTGTGTTTGAAGATCAGACATAACTGCACATAGTTAAATTTCATAGGGACCACCATATTTAACTTTTATTAATAATACTAAATTGTATTCTCTTAAATTAGTTTAATTTGTTTCAAAAGACTTTTAAGCTATTAAGTATATATTTAGCAACTAATCTAAATAAATTTATAATTTTTCATAAATGACCGATACGAAACTTTTCTTTTATGTAGAAAAGAAAATATAAATCAAGTATTGAATTTTTTTTGCTGTTTTACTTGGTCAATTTATATGTACAGCATATGCCTACATTTAGAAATCATCAATAATGATTATTAGAATAATTCTTTTTTCAATGTTTTGTGTTGATGCTTAAATGTTTTAATGATAGACTTTTCCCAAGATATATGTACCAGACCCATTCCAAATGCTACATTATAAGAAAATTCCTTGTGCCAATTCTGTTTTTTTTCTCAAATTAAATAAGTAATACTGATTGAATTAGGGGGGAAAATGCAACACTTGAATGTGAAGATTCTTGGTTCATGAAAATCCACAAGTGATCAATTTGTAAAGAAATACATTAATTAAAAATTATCATTACAATACAGGTTTGGTACAAGTACAGAGACCTACATATAGGAGAATTTATTAAAGTTTATTTATTGCTCATAAGATTTGGATGGTATGTACTGTGCCCGTTTTTCCAATTTCCAATTGTAAGAGCTCCAGGACCCTGTTGAAAAAACAGTAATGCAAAAATTCCACTTCACCATGATGTTTTCTAAGTTCGTTCTTACAGCCACTTGAAATGAGTACGCTCAGTAACAGGATCACTCATTGATATTATGAAACAATGTGACAACAAGGTCATTACCATACTTTTGCAAGGCTAATGATATTCCAACCAATTTTATAATGAAAGAAAGACAGTTACTCAAAAACAAACAATGAGGAGAAGAATTACAGTAGGAATGGAACGTAAATATCATGGTGTTGCATGATTTTGGATTATCCTACATTATTTATAATCTGTAATAACAGATTAATTAATTGTTACACACCTTACACTAACAAAAGGCTCAGAATAGCATTTTTATTGAGTAATATTTGTTTGTATTAGTTATCTAAACATTGTCAAAGATAAAAGGACAATGGCTGAAATCAGTTTTATATTTCATTTTTTGTAAATGTTTATAACATTTGTACATGTTTATTGCCTAAATTACATGTTTGAAGATTTTGTTGTAGACAATATTATATTGTTTTTGTTATAAAACATAAGAAGTAGTTAAGTGGATAAATGGACAATATGTTTGTATGTTGTATTTATTTTGTATGTCAACTTCCAAAGGGACTGGAAGTTTACTTTACTCTATCCATCAGGAAAAAAAAAATTGTTTAATTAAACATACACAGTAACAATGTTGTTTATAATAGATTTTATAATGCTTTTGCTTTGACTCAATAACATCAAAACATTTTTAATGACATTTTTATTGTATTTATATAATACTTGCTAACAATAGCAATTTTCAAATCAAAGTTTCTGAACTCAGCATCAGACAATAAAAATACAAGGTGATTAGTAAATTAACATTCTAATTACGATGTTTGTTTTTAATGTATCAGAGTAGATGTTTGGTGCTTTTGCAGAGCAGAAAATTTCACCTTTCATTGTATCTAAAGAAGTGTTACTTGTGAAACAATTATTGGATAATGAGTGTTTTTATGTTGCCTGATGTAAAGTAACTACTTACCATAGATGTATGTACATAAGTAGTCACGGTACGTTTTTAAACATATTGTGTTTCATAATGTCAGCACTTATGTTCCACAATTTGTATGTACTATTATGTAAATTTATTTTCTTTTTCTTCCATCGGTGTTATATTGAGAATGTTTTTTCATATGAGTATTAAAAAACATTTTGTATTTCAAATGTTTTGGCAATTTTCCTAAGCTTACCTTAGTAGCTAAACCACTATTGATTACATTGTAGTTTCAGTAGTAGTAAAACCATGCATTATAACGTATGCTGAAGGACAGATTTCACTAGAATCTATTTTGCAACTGTACTCTTTTTCCGAAGATACTTCATTCACCTAGTAGATAATTCAGTAGAATGGAAATAACATTAAATTTTACTTCTGTTTGGTGTGCTCTGAAAAAAAGTAAATATTCCAAATGAATAACTTTAAAAATTCTAAATGATGTTTTTTTATGTTGTTTAGTATTTGATTTCAGACAACACAAAAGAATAACTATAAATATATGTTTAAAGTAACAGATGTTTTAAAAAAATGTTTACACCATCAGCTTCTAGATTACATGCTTTCATAAGGGGATGATTCCATCTGTCTCATGTTGTCTTGATACTGCATCCCAACTACTTGTCTGATGCAGTTTTCCAATTAAATGCTCATAGTAATTACCGGTGATGGAAGCTCCTTACTCCAGATAATCAACAAATACAATAACTTCAGCATCCCAGAAAACAGATGTCATAATGTTACCCATCGAGGCAGTGACACAAAATATCCAACCTATGCTTTGCAGTTTGGTCTATGGATCAAAATGATAAGCCCATGTTTCAACCATGGTGATAAACCAGGGTATAAAGTTCTCTGGGTTTAGACGGAACTGTTCCAAAAGCGCTGTTGATATATGCTGTCAAGTTGCCTTTTGTTCATCAGTCAAGGTTCAAGGCCCCCATCTTGCAGACACCTTTCTCAACTGCAAGTGGTTGATTAATACTGACTGTGTACTACCATATAAATTGTTCATAGATTAAGAAATGCATCTGACAGCCAACCAATGATTGTTCATGATGAGATCCTGCACTTTTCCTTCAGTTACTTCCCGTGCCGTACTGATGTTTGATGGCACCCTGTGCGACATATAAATTCAGCAACACCAGCCCATTAGTTTTCTTTGTTAGTCAATCAGCACTCCCCTTTGAGTTGGCACACTGTGAAAATGTACTGATGGGCACCCAGACTAGTGAGCATCTTCACACGAAACTGTGCCATGCTTAAATGCATCACTTCACTTAATAATGGCTGCATAAGCAGAAGCACAAGCTCCCAATGTCTGTTGAATGTTAGCATGCACTTCCTGTGGACCTTCAAACGGAGATATTTTTGACAGCATGCACTTAAGATTTCACCATTTTCGTTTTTTTCTGTTGGCATGCTTCACACAAATACCTAAAAACTGGTCAAATGATATAATTTTAGACACACTACAAATAGTTTTACACTAAAAGGTAGTAAAAATTTCTTTCAGGTCAAAATACAAACTTTTTTATCGAACCACCGGACACATACAACACTATATATATTTAGTTAATTTGCTTCTTGGACTATATTGTGCTTTTAAAAGAAAACCCAAAATACTAAAAGAGATATATATGATAAAAGAACAAAAATGATTATGTAAATATAACATGCAACTCACTGTTTGTGGTATCTTTAGGTGGAGTAACTGGTTAGGTTCTACCGATTACAGAGAAGTTCGGTAGAAAATTATCATAGAGTAAATTTGAATCTTCTGACTTTAACTTAGTAGTGAAAGAAAGAGACTGGAAACAGTATACAACAATGTAAAATAATATTTATTCATACAAATAATCAAAGATGACTGTATTTATGGAGCCTTTGCTGGAGATTTGAGAGCCCTCAGTGAAAAAGTAATAGAAGTGAGTGGTTGTCCAAGAATGAGTAAACATGGTGTTATATACGCAAAACAATAATTTTTCTCGGGGTGCATGCATAACATGTGATTGTTGGTTATATCCCTCAAGGTTTTATTTTCAATATATCGCCTGATCTGCCTGTGGAAAAGACCACTGTCCACTTCTATTTATTATGTTTAATCTTATAGAAATATTTCTTGCAAGAAAGTGCATGTGATGTCACAGATAAATGACCCAGAACAATGACTGACATTCTGTAATTAAATTTTTTTTTGTATTAAATAAGAGGGTAGCTGGTTTCATTTTTGCTACTTTTATACAAGTAATAATTACTTTACTATTTTAATACTATTTATTCATTATAACTGAAATGTTACTGATACATCAAAACTTAGTGATAAAAGTATCACTTTTGCTCAAGTTCAAAGTAACATCATGATGATCAACTTTCACTAACTCCAAAAGTTGATATATGGTTTCCCTCAATGTTTTACACTCAGCCCTTCAGTAACCAACACGATGCCTAAGCGGAATGTACGACAACTGCATGCCCACATCACTAGAGCAGTAACCTTAATTACTATGTAAATATGCTTGATGTGCTTGACTCGGATAGCTTAGAAGTTAGGGAAAGTGAGTCAAGTGGTGTTCAAATGCATGATCATGAAAAGGCAGTGAGACAAGAGAATGATCTCGTGATGATAAACTCGGACCCAGCAGAGGAAGGCAGAAACAGTGTCTACAATGTGAATCATTTGTCCAAGTCACAGTGGGAGCACCGGGAAATATACTTCCCAGCCACAGTGAATGGATTAATAAAGAAAGGGGAAGTGTATTTGTTAATTTTACTTTTCTTCACCAAAATGTGTAATTTCAGTGAAAAGACAAAAATAATCCATCAATGATGTAAAGGCCTCATCTACTGTTTGATTTGCTACTCCCTCTGCAGTAAACTATAATTTTGCTGAATCACAGCTCTTCAGTACTGCTTTGGAGAGCAAACCAAAAAAATACAGCTCGACCTTTCATAGTGGTGGAATATAAACATTGAAATTACATGTTTTGGTGAAGGAGAGAAAAATTCACAAATAAATTATAACTAATGTGCTGAATAATAGTGAATAATTAATTGTGATGGTATTGTCACATCTTATTCAAACACTTAAAAGTATTTTAGGTTATTTATGGTGAGCAAAGAACTTTACATCAAAGCCTACCAAAAGGTAGTACATTTCTAAATAGTTAGTAACCCTAGTTCTATTTATTTCACTTACATTAGACATATTATTATTAAATAGTT